ATACCTACTGGTTACTATGGTACGTTGTTTATTATCAATTATTTAATAAACAGTTCTATCTGAATTTGGTAAAAATGCAATAAAGTCATTGTCAATTTGATTTATTATAGATTTATTATTTTTTCATTATTCTACTAGTGAAACAAAGTTAGTTTATTCCACTAGTGGATAAAGTATCATTTTAGATGGTTCGTATGTGTGGATTGAAATATTTTAAACATAATATTTGCATACATTTTGAAAAAATCTTTCGTCCTGTGATTTACAAAATACATTTCGTATTATTACTTTGCACAAAAAAGTATTTTCGAGCGAATTTACTGCTTTTAGTCATTTCAATTATACAGTGTAGGAAAGTACCGATGGTCTATCAGAAGTTACGTGAGAGCGATAAAGTAAGCCATAGAAATCCATGTGATAGACAAGGATGGCTGTAATGAAGGCGTCTAATAGTCAACGCCCACTTCGCCTTTCCACAAATAAGAAGTGGATCTTATTTGTGGAAAGGCGAAACGGGCGGTGACTATGAGAGGCATTCACTATAGCCATCCTTCTCTATCGCATGGATTTCTATGGCTTACTTTATCGCTCTCGCGTAACCTCAGATAGACCATTGGTACTTTCCTACCCTGTATATGTGGTAATGTGAAAACATTATCTAAAATTATATGCAAAAAATATGTGATCACAATTAAGTATACTTTTTAAAATTTGATAAATAATACCTAAATGTTTATTAGAAATATAAAACATGGTTGAGAAAGCGAAAATCTTAATACCTATTAATGTCAATATTTTTTAAGGACGCCAGCTTTAACATTTTAAAATAAAATGTAACTATAGTAATAAAACTAAATAAAGCTAAGGAAATAATTATTTTTTCTTTGAACTGATTTAACAGAATTAAGTTAGAGATACCTAAGCGATTTTTGGCTCAAGTCAAAGATTTTCAAAAAGGGGTTACCTACATTTTGTTTTACTTTTTATTTGTTGTCATTTTTCAGCCAAATGTTTCTCTTTCTATTTAATTTTCTCTTCTCACAAGTTTAGTACTTAGCTAGTTTCATTTTTTACCTTACTTTTTAATTTCTTCATTGTATTACGTCAGCAAATGTTATAAAAATATAAAAGAATAAAATGATTTATTTAAGTTTCTTTGTTTTTTATCTGTTGTATCCTATTTCTTTCTGCGATTTTTATATAAGTATTCTTTTTTCCTATGTCGTCTAATTTGTTTTATCTTCATTAGATTCCCGTCTGTCCTTACAGGCCTGCCTTGATTTAACATTATTTTTTTATAAGAATTTATGTAAATTAATACAAGTAACAATGTTCATAAACATTAATAAATTCATATTTATTTATTTGTAAGATAGATGGTGCTTGTTTCTCTATTTTCCTTTTCAGTTCGGGAAATATGTAGGTAAATCATGTTGGGTTCAACGAAACTATTACTTACTACAACCAATTATTACCGAGTGCCAGATTATTTCCTCACTGGTAAAGTTTCGCCATTTACGGCAAACTTAAAATAAACATCTAATTAGGTACGCGTGACTGAAACCCACAACAAGTAGTTGTTATAACTAGGAAACACTACGGTGTTGTAGTTTCATTCATTCATTAACATTCTTAAAAGATTTCTTCAAAGGTAGGCAGCTGAGGTATGAATAGGTAAATAGTTTAAAATGTAAAACCAAGTAAATAATAATATGTGACGTTTAATGGTTAGTACTGTTAAGTAGAACATTTTCTGTTGAAATTCGAAATTCAAAAATGTCTCTGTGCTTGATGTGACTAGGAAGAACCAACCGTCTCCGTCGCTTACTCGATATCGTGATTAGGTTGCTCAAACTGAATACAAAGATATTTCCCTGCAATGAATTATGCATAATACTTCATTGATGATATTTAGTGGTTTTTATCGTTTTTATAAAAATGTATTCCAAGTTTTTTTATGTCCAAAAGTACTTGGTACAGTGCCATCCTTGTAAGTATGTTCCGGTATAGTCTTTCCGATCTCACTTGAAGAACCAAGAGGATGACAGTATATGTACCAGGTTCGGTCGCTAACGCAGCAACTCGGCGTTGAAATATTTGAAAAACTTGTTCCCATATACAGGTCTGGTGGAACTAAACGTGCATGTGGTAGAAATCTATACGACCAGTTGAAAAATGGGCGTGCGGGCAAACGGTATTACGCACTGTTGTTCTGGTCGACTGCGTCATAAATTTCAGTTGTCGACAAGTCGCCTGGCAGTGCAGTGCAGCAATGCGGAATTTGGTGTGATGCAAGTAATTTTAATTTTTTATAGGCACCTTCTATTAATCATTCATATTACAATTGCGAAAGGGAGAAATAAGAGGGATATTTGGTTTACTAATATTATTACAACATGGCATTTTGGAGACCTTTTCCTCCGAGAAAATTATTGAAGTTGTAGTATTTTTAACCTTTACATTGTTGGGCTACTGTACTCTTTCTTGGGAAATAAATTATTAAAATTGCTCTTTTTGATTATTTTACAAAATTGTATTTGTACAAAAATGCACAGGCACTCTGTGCATTTTTGTACAGTTTGTACAATTTTTTTTTGGATAAATTCTAAATCATCCTGTATAACATAAACGGGAACAGATATATATAATTTAATGGAGTTTGGTACTCTTAAGTAGTTCTCAGAGAGCTTCAGTACCCATCAAATCATTTTTTATATTGCCATGGAACAGTGTATTTAATGTTAATGTTTTTTTTATTTCCTTTGCAGTGACGATTAAATTTCGCTAAAATTACACAACATTCTGTTTCACCGGCTGTGATTGTGAGGAAAATACAAATTTTGAAAATATTCCCTGTGCGAATCGACTGAAAATCAAAATACAGGAAGTCAAAGCACTCACAAATTCGTCACTCTATACAAGCCCTGTACTTTTGGTTTTAAATATTCCATAGATCCACCAACTTTTTATGTGACCCTACAACAGCTGAAACTCTTTCAAAAAATTGATCCGAGGAAAGAAAGTATATATCGCCAGAAACGTAAATCTGCTGTCTTAACTGATACACCAATAAGAATAGGCGAGAGGTTCACCTCTAAAAAGATGCTTCTAAATGAAGGTAACCGACTAAATTTTTAAAACAAAACTTACAGCATGAAACTTTTTTTATTTTGTAGTGTATTTTTCTGATAATTTACATATATTCTTTATATTTTTCGGCGTGGTCAGTCAATTGTTATAAACAAAAAAGTTGTAAAAAAAATTACTCGCCGATTGGCTTTAAAAACAGTTTTTCTTTGTAAAATGGACCAAAATAAACACTTTCTGTTCTTTGACAAAAATTCGAAAAATGTTTCGTTTCCGAGATATTTACAATTTAATGTGAAAAAAGTGACGAAATCGACAAACTTTCGGAATTTTTTTCTCAAAAACTACTAACAGAGTTTAATTCTAAAAAAACATAACAATCGGCAGATCTTTTACTTTAAGATACGTATATTTTTTTGGTATAGGTCAATTATTTTATTGAAGGTCTAAAGCGAATAAAAAAACAGTATTTTAAAGAAAATCATGATAATCAAATACGCATCAAAATGGCGGCGCAAATTTTTTTTTACAATATCTTGGACTAGATTATATTTACAGTAAACATAATGTTATTAGGATATTTTTAATCGATATATAACAATAACATGCGGAAATAAAGTATTTTAATAATGCATGCTATCGGTGGCTGTGATACATGTTCGATATCTAATATTGGAAAAAATACTGCTTTAAAGGCTTTATATAAACTTACAGATGATGAATTAAATATATTTGCTAATTTAGAAAGTTTAACTTTAGAAGATGCGCTTGAAATTTTGACGTTATATTTATCAAAAATTCTTAAAAAAATGGAAATATTGCTCGAAATCTATAAATAAATTAAGACATACAATTGCTTTTAAAAAATGCTGCAAGCGATAGATTGCCACTTTCCTACCCATTATTGCAACATTATTTGAGGTCATAAAGTCAAATAAGCGAATGGAAGCAGGCTACAAATAGTGAAATTGTCACTCTAGATCCATTGAGACATGGATGGAAAATCGAAGATAGGTACTTGTTCCTATACAATAAATTATCCAATAACTTTTTTATTTTTCGAGACTGCTAGGTCAATTATTATTATTAGGACAATTTTACGATTTAAAAAGCTTATTTAGTTTAGTTTTGGTATAACTTTCAAGTCAATTTTAGCCATTTATAAAACCAAAAATCGATATTTAAATTTTACTAATTAGGTACTTGCAAAAACCTTACTCCGGCTACAAAACCAAAAAAAATGATCTTTTGAACATTTGTATTGTTAACATATATCGATTAAAAAAAATCATAATAATGTTTATTGTAAATTTAATCTAATCCAAGGTATTGTAAAAAGAAAATTCAAAGTTGAAGTGTTATCATAATTTTCTTTAAAAGACTTTTTTTTACTCGCTTTAGACCTTCAATAAAATGATTGACCAATACCAAAAAAATATATCTTAAAGTAGAAAATCTGCCGATTATTATGATTTTTTTAGAATTAAAATCTGTTCAGTAGTTTTTGAGGAAAAAATTCCGAAAGTTTGTCGATTTCGTCACTTTTTTCACATTAAATTGTGAATGTCTCGTAAACGAAACATTTTTCGTCGTCCATTTTATATCAAAAAACTGTTTTCAAAGCCATTCGGCGACTAAATTTTTCTTTACAACTTTTTTGTTTATAGCAGTTGACTGGCCACGCCGAAAAATATAAAAAATATATGTGATTTATCAGAAAAATACACTTTATAAAATAAAAAAGTTTCATGCTGTAGGTTTTTGTTTTAAAAATTTAGTCGGTTCCTTGTAACATTGAACTTGATGAATTTATTGGATTGAAAATTGGAACCGATAAAACAGGTTCAAGAAAATTGGTTTCACATCAATCGCACATCTCTCACGACGGCCCCATCGCGCTTATGACGACTCACCTGTATCCATGGCGGGTCCCCTCGGCTGGGCCGGCACGAGTCACCAACACAAAAAAATCCGCCAACACAAGACGGCAGCGGTCCGCCAAACGGCGCATAAAACCGCTCCACGATAACAATCAACGGCCCGTGCGAATTAAATCTACCATTAAAACCGTTTAGCGGGCGCGAGACTGGCGCGATGCGAATCGGTGCGTTCAGTGGGATCAGAAAAATGTGCGGCGCACCGTCCCGCAGCACTTGCGACAAATATCGGTGACCATTTGAGTGGAACTTCACGGTGTTCGAGCGATATTGATACGGCGGGCCGGCGGCCCCGCCCCGGGCCTATAAAATGGCTGGTTAGAGCCAACGGCAGGCTGGAAACGGCTCGGGAAGGCGGGAAGGACGCTCATTGGCGCGCATCGGGGGTACGCACGATGTAGCAGGGGAATGTGCTGTGTAATTCGCTTTTGATTAGAGTGGCATTTTTTTTCAGGGACTAGTCGGAATACGAGCGAATGCGAAGCATTAAATTGGCGTGGATACTTTCAGTTAAATTTTAAACATTGGTCAAATTGGAGCCGACACCGAAAAAAAGATGAGAAGTAATCCTAAATTCCTTAATGAAGCGGGAGGAGGGGGCAGATTGCTTTCTTAAATTTTTCAGATATTTATTTATTTTTATTTATTTATTTAGTTGGAAACAGCTGCCAAGACAGGACGGAGCCCAATTATAAGGCAGGTATAATACAGATTAAAAAACAGATAAAATTTACATTAATATAATTAAAACAAAAATAGAAAATACACACCATACAGGGTCGGAAAGTCCCCATGGTTCATCCGCCGTTACGTGAAAGCGAGTCATAGAAATCCATGCGAAAGAGAAGAATGGCTATAATGAAGGCGTCTCATAGTCAACGCCCATTTCGCCCTTCCACAAATAAGATCCACTTCCATTCATTCTAAAACTGAATAAGATTGCTACGCGGCCTGTAATTCTCAATTAGAGTTTTGTCATCTTTTTTAAAAATAGGACAAATCTTTGACTGTTTCCATAGTCTAGGAAATATTAAAGAACCTAGTGATAAGTTGAAAACGAACGTTAAAGGCTTAGATATATTCATATGAGTAACTAAATAAGAGGGTTTTATTCTGTATCTTCTGTTGGCAGAAGCGGCAGAGTACGCCAACTGTAGTTATTGTGGCAAACGACACACTCGGAAACCATAGACCTAAAAATAATTAAGAAAACTGCATAGGAAAACACAATTAGAGTAACTTCTAATTCTACTGTCTAATAGATACATCACAAAACAGTTGTTAATGGTTTGTTGATAATTAAAATTAAGATGAACCATTGACAGCGGTTTCATGACCCATTATGAAACACTTTAAATCAAAAAAATTTACATGCAGACTCTTGTTATTATTTTTTTAAAGAAACCATTAAAACCTGCAAATTTCAAAGAAATTTTATTAAAGAATTATTTGCCTGCCTTTATGTAAAATAATATTGCAGTTACTTGCCAAAAATTATTTCGAATTCGAAATAATGGTCATGTATCTTTCGTAGTAAACCTTGGAAGCGTCTAGATTTATCAACTTCATAACACTGTACCATGTGGCTGAAATTTGCTTGTTTTATTCTGTGAAAATTTAATATTATTGTTATATAAAACATTTCTTGTATTTTTAAGCAAATGAGCAACGTCAAAAATGGGAATAATTTCCTCGCCATTAACATTAAAAGTATGGATTTATCTGATGACTCGGAAACTAATCTGTTAGATGAAACTGTCTGATAGATGATCTGTTAGTGGAACCTTGATCACAAACTGTACAAATTATTATTAATCCGCAAGACTGCAAGGCTAAAATTATTTCAATTAACAAAATTTGTAGGTCCTTTGTTTTTATAACGTCTTTTGTGAAATAATACGCAATAGGTTGCTTCCAATGTTTACTAATACCTTGCACCAAAAACACTATAGTCTGTTTGGAAATGAAAGAGAGTAATAAAACCCCGAGATAAGAACCGTCCATGGGCGTGGTAATATTTCGTTTCAGGTAATTATCGGGTAACACTAATGNCCAAAATCGACATATCCCGTTACTTGAGCTTTACAAGTGTCATAATTTAAACCCACAGACAGAGCTATTTCATCAAATACTAAACAACAAACTTTATGTCTTGTAATCATTTTACTAACACGTCTGATAATTATTTCCGTAACAACTTTTCATTTATTCCAACATCTAAATGTATTTAGCCTAAATATTTCCTTATGGAAGATTTAGAGGGCAGCACAAAAAATTTCTGTAAAAACCTGTAGCACCTTGACCCACGTTTGTAAATTGTTAAAGCAAGTGCTTTATTTTCTGAATTATGGATAGGTCATTTCTTTTCGCAATTTTTAATTTGTGACTCAATAAATTTTACTCCTACTGGATCAAGATGTTNGCAAGTGCTTTATTTTCTGAATTATGGATAGGTCATTTCTTTTCGCAATTTTTAATTTGTGACTCAATAAATTTTACTCCTACTGGATCAAGATGTTCACTTAATTTTGTAAATAAATTAGAATAGGTAATACAGGGTGATCGAGAATGATTGACCGTGCCGCCACATACTGATTTTTGATGTGCGGCATACCAGTTTTTGATACCAATACTAGAATTATGAGCGCAGGTTGAGGGATTTTAATGGTAAACAAATAATTACGTTCAAACGTCAAATAAATTAGGTTACTGTCAAAATGGAAATTCATAATGAAAATATCAATTATTTAACAAAAATCAAAGTTATTTCACAAATTAAGCAATACTGATGGACCAATAAATGTTATTATTGTTATTATTATTAAAGAGGATGACAGAATCAAATGTAGGTTTAGCCTAACTTTTCCAAAATTCTTATTTCATTTACAATCAGAAAAACGTTTAAATAAAAGTTTGATGTAGCTAATTTTGAATAACGACTTTAAGTGCTGCAGCGATTTTATTTTTAAAAAGTTTTGAGTAAATTTTAAAAGAGAAGCACTATTGTGGCAACATTTCTGGCATTTAAGACGATTCAGCTATACAGCCCTACGCTGCAACCTGCTGTTTTTCATCGAAGCAACTGCTGTATGTTTAATGTTTATAAGACGACTATTTTGCAGCTACTGCTTTCACACTTCTGAATATCCAGCGCAAGCGATCCAACCTAAAAATTTACGCTAAACATTTTTGTTAGCTGTTGAAATTCAGCAAGTCTTAAAAACATTTGCTTCAAGCAAATGCAAGCGGTTGAAGTGCTTGATTATGTTCGACGGCAGAATTGTCTATATGACCAAGAGCAATAAACATCAGTTACATGCAATATGTAATAACACAGTAATTGAAATTTTTTCACATTTTATTGAATATTTTATCTAAAAATTACATAAAATCCATATGGATAACTAAAAAAATATCTATATTTTTACAATAAATGTTCAATATGATGTCCATTGTTGTTCAAGCAGATATTAATTCTCCTTTTCATATTATTAAATACATTCTGTAAAACATTTTGTGTAATACGCCTAATTTCGATTGTAATTGCCTCTTGAAGTTCTTCAATTGTGTGTAACCGTTGAGCAAATACTGAATTTTTTAAAAAACCAAATAAATAATAGTCTAGAGGTGTAAGGTCAGGAGAACGTGGTGCCCATCTATCTCGTCTAATTATTCGATCATCATAATACTCTCTAATCAACTCTAAAGTTTCGTTAGAGGTGTCAGCTGTTGCGCCATCTTGCTGAAAGTATCCATGATGGATTTCATCGTCGTGAAGTTCCTCAAAAAATGGTAACAATATTTGCTGCCGATATACCTTCCCAGTTACATTTTCACGGAGAAAATATGGTCCGATTATTCTTCTACGTGACAGCTACCCAAAACACCAAGTTTCATAAGGTGCAGAGTTGTTTCACGTAAAATATTAGGGTTTTCTGTGTTCCAAGAGTGATAATTTTGGAAGTTACGTACCCACTTAAATGAAACCATGCTTCATCAGTAAAAAATGTTAGTTCTAGAATTTCGTCATCATTCAGATTTTCGTTAAACCAATTACAAGTATTGCACACGTTTTCCAAAATCTAACGGAAGTAGTTCCTGCACAACACTAACTTTATAAGGATGAAAATGCAACTTCTTTACTGCTTTATGGTATGATCCATATGATATTCCTATAAACAATTTAGGAATAATGATACAAATTTTAGAATAAATATTTGTTATTACCTGTTTGAGCAGATAACCGACTTAATGACTTGGTTGGACTAGCTCGTAAGCCGTTTTCAACATCTTCTAAGACTTCCTCTGTAAGAATAGACTTTCTGCTTGGAGATTTTCCTCTACAAACACTTCCAGTGTTATGGAAGCGTTCCACTAATCTCTTCACGTGTCTCGAAAAAATTTCATAATCAATTTCATCATTTGGAAATCGTTCTTGAAATCGTAAATGACACGAATTCATCGAATATTTCCAACCATTATCCTTGGTTTGTCCACTACGAAAATAGCTTCCAGAAGAAATTTATCATGTTCTAATGAAAATGCCATGTTATCCTAAATTAAAAAACCGATTAGGTTAGGGAACAACATACGCAATAAACTAATTACTCAGGTATAATATCTACCTACTCTAACTCTAGTATTGAAAAATACTGTTTTATAATGTCGCAAAATATATCAGGTAACAACAAAATCTAAAAAATAATATTCAAGCCAAAAAATCCGTGCGCCAATGAATTGAATGTCAAATTTTGAAATCGCCACAGAACACCATGAAATCGCACGGAAAAATAGTAATTTTAGCAAACGGAAATTAATTTTGATAGCAATTGAGACAGGGTATGTTCAGAATCCGGTCAATCATTCCCGATCTCTCTGTACTACGAACATGAGACAAATTATTTTTACATTTTAATAGTTTCCTTTTTAATTTCAAAATCTGAATTTTCTGTTGACGATCTAGCTACTTAATACATTATTTTATGTTTATCTGAAAGTTGAGATATTCTCTTAACATTCAAAATTTTTAAAAATGTTCTTTGTTTATTATTTGACTGAAAAGATGTGAGGCTTTGACAAAATGAGGTACCTACTTAATTGTCTGTCTTTTGAAATTCTGAAAAAACTTTTATTTCTACAGGACGCATTACACAATTTACACACTTTCATATAGTAAATGCTTTTGCATTTTGGAGCACAACATTGACGTTTAGTTCTACCA